TTAGTAGCCATTTTAGTAATTTAATCATTTTTCATCCCGCTCGATAACTGATCAATTATCGTCTTTTTTGTAAATGTTTTTCACTCTATTTCGATTAAAATTTCCCTGAGCTTATGGCAAATCTAAAATTTTTGTATAAAAAAAACATTTATTTTTATTATTAAAGTTTATTCCTGATATATACTTAGTGTTACCAATGTTAGTTTTTTACAATTTTCCGCGCTTTTACTGGTGAGTGATACTCATTTGCCAGACTATACCGGTGTCACTTCCCAGTAAACAGCACGGAGTAGGCATGACACCGAAGCCGGTCTCCTGTTTCTCTCACACAATAAGACTTCTCTCATCACAAATGTCGACGGATATCCAATATACGTCGAAGAAATCCCGATAATGGCGGACAATCATTTATTAAAAATATCAGCAACACAGACATTGACATTGACAATCGTTGGGTGGTGCCGTATTCGCCTCTGCCAGCAAGACAAACAATGCTCATATTAATGTTGAGTTCTGCAGTTCTGTGAAGAGCATCAAATACATTTGCAAGTATGTTTATAAAGGCAGTGATATGGCTGTGTTTAGAGTGGAAAATACTAATGTGAATGCTCCTCCAGTGAATAAAAACGATGAAATAACGCTCTACCAAATTGGTCGGTACATCAGCTCCAATGAAGCTGCTTGGCGTATCTTTGGTTTTCCAATTTATGAACGGGATCCAGCAGTTGTTCAGTTAGCCGTCCATCTTGAAAACGGTCAGCGTGTATTTTTCACGAACGAGACAGCGATTGATCGTGCTATAAATCCACCTAAAACTACACTCACTGAATTTTTTGAATTGTGTAATCGTGCAGATGATTTTGGTGCCTTTGCACGAACATTACGCTATTCACAAGTACCACGCTATTTCACATGGGCTCAAACAAAAAATGGATGCACCGCAAGCAAGGCTCACCAGTTGATGCATGTCTCAATTTATTTTAATCAAACGCCTTGGGCCGATTATTTACAGTCAATCCAAGACACACTGAGTGCTTTTATCTTCGACTGTTGTTGGTTAATATTACTGGCCCATTATCATTTCAAGATATACGTAAAGTGAATGGCCAACAGTATCCAACGTATAAAGATGCATGCCTTGCACTCGGCTTTGCACTCGATATTGTGGGATAATCACAAAGATTCAATGACTGATGATATATTGCATCAACATCGTACACGGTGCAACGATCTAACCATAACATTCAGCGACGCTATGTACAATGAAGCATTGATTGCTATTGAGGATCTTTGCATTGTCATTGCCAACTTATCACTNGCTATGGACAAGGAATGTCCGCATTGTCATGCTCTCAAATTCAATACAAATTCGTCTACTATTCGCTATAGTGTTGACTACATGTTTCCCAGCCCGAGCACAGATATTGTGGGATAATCACAAAGATTCTATGACTGATGATATATTGCATCAACATCGTACACGGTGCAACGATCTAACGATAACATTCAGCGACGCTATGTACAATGAAGCATTGATTGCTATTGAGGATCTTTGCATTGTCATTGCCAACTTATCACTCACACATTTCGGTATGAATTCGCCAAATCGAACTGCATCTGATTTAATGAACACTGAAATGAATCGTGAACTGCAGTACAACACTGTAGAAATGGCAGCGATTGTTACTCGCAACGTCCCACTAATGAATGACGAACAAAGAACCATTTATGACCGCATTATGCTCGCAGTTTCAGCAGGACAATATGGGTTCTTCTTTTTGGATGCACCAAGTGGAACTGGCAAAACATTCCTTATTTCGCTAATTCTTGCTGAAATACAATCAAATAATGGCATCGCATTGGCCGTTGCATCATCAGGCATTGCGGCAACTTTATTGGATGGAGGCAGAACAGCTCATTCAGTATTTAAGCTGCCACTAAATATTGCCTTAAGTTCTTAGCCCGAGTTAACTCGGGCAAGACGAGTGCTTGCGTAGTTCTTCGCCCGAGTATACTCGGGCAACAATAAAAAACTCTCTCGTAAACGTTCTATGCACGATATTACTCGGGAAAAGCTTATTTTGTATTCTATTGGATGTTGTTTATGACATCACAAAATTTTGAAATTATACACCCAATGAAAGTTTAAATTTTGGACAATTTTTGTGGTCCCCACCTATTGAAAAAGTATAGATGATCGAAAATTTCGTGATGTATTTGAATGTTTACGGTAACTGATGCACATCTGTCTAGAAACCGGTCTTCCCCTGTGATTTGTATGAGAATATCCCGCTATTGGCTATGAACAGCTGTTCTCAAGGACATTACGCTAACTACACCGAACAGCTGCGCGTGTCACGTGATCCATCGCGATTTTTTTTATTAGAAAGAAAATTCGTTTTTAAATAATATGCAATAAAGGAAATTAAGTTATATGTTAAAATTTTTCAGAAATCTAATTCATAATTTGGTGTATTAAATGTTTTTTTAATTTTTTGTGGGAGTTTTTCCTGTAAAACACAAAAAAACAATGTTAGGTTAATGAAGTTAATATTAGCATATAATATAAGTAATAACAAGAAAATAAAAAAATTATCAAAAAATAACGTAATACAATTGATTATTTGCAGTAACTAGTTCAGACGTGTGTAGAAAACCTACTTCCCCTCAGGCTGTTGTTGGGAACAACCCGCGAAAGTTTACAATCAGCTGTTTTCAAGGTCGTCCAGTTGTGTATCTGTACTGAAGCTTGTATGGAGTGTCTCTTTGCGAGTATTGTGTTACATGAGAAATAATAAGTTTATAAATAATACATTATAAAATGAATGAAGATTTATACTAAAATTTTTTATAAATTTATTTTATAAAATGGTGTATTATAAATTATTTTGATTTTTTGTGGGAGCTTATTGTAAAGCTTTTTATGTCAAATAATGTCTCAACAAATACAGAAATAAACCAATTACAGTTCTAAAAAGATTACTATTGATTTTATCAGCCAATAATCTTTCTTCTTACTGCTAATTACTTTACAATGGTAAGGGACTGACTTTCCCGAAATATTTATGACCTGGAATGGTGAGAAAACATTTATTGGTTCAAACAAATACAAGAAAGCAAATCGAAGCTTAGATAGCTACGAACTTCATTTCATTTTTTACATTACATTCATTATATATTTTGTGGTTAAATTAACTTTTTTAATTATTTTATCGCTAACCGACGAATGGCAGCTTCTCGGCAAAACTAATAATAGTACAGAGAAGCCGAATCGCAGGGGGCCCCTGTAAAGTTGGCTATCCAAAGGAGAAGATGCCATTTAGGAACCAATTTTTACAAATTGAAAAAATTCGAATGAAACTTTTTTCCAGACAAAATAGATGCTTTCTTTTAAATAATAATAAACAATTTTTTCAGCTTGGCAACTTATAGTG